GGGGATGGGTCCTTTGACTCATGTCTGGAACTGTGTAAAGAAAAAATGGTGTGGATGGCTGACAGTCCTGTATTTTCAGGGTTTGGAGCAGCAAAGAATATACCTGTTTCTCATGGGCTGCCCAGTGGGAGGTACCCCTAGAGGACCTCCTAGAAGGGTAAAGAGATTCCAAGAAGGGGCCGGGGACAGCAAGGTGTCACAGGAGACCAACAGGAGGGGGCATCACCCAGCCCGGCAAACTGTGGTCAGAGGCTACAGATGCGTGGGGAGAGGGAGTCTTCAAGGAACCCTCCACAGCACCCCATGAGAGAAAAGACCAGTGATTGTTTGCCTCTACGCAGGAGGCCCTGGTGCCACAGCAGAGCTCTAATGATCAAATCAAGCTTCCCTGCCGTATTATCTCCTCTCCCCTTCCCATACATTCCGCCCTGGAGAGGCGCAAAACACCATCCTATGAGTAGAGGAAGTAGGGTCAGAAGAGAGAGAATGCTGACCATCCCACCTTCCTAGCTTCAAGTCTTCACATCTGAAGCAAAATTTGCTGGCGTTCGTGTTACCCAAAAGTGACCTGCTGGTATAGAAGAATGAGTCTCCGTAGCTGCAAGGAATTATCACGAGGCATGCCTTTTCTCGGCCAACCTCATAAGTTTAATAAATGTCTTGCAGCTAAGAATGTAACTGTGTCTAACTTAACATTTGTACAAAAAAAAAGGCTAGTTTACGTTTCAATATTTTGTACTTTGTGTAATCTTCACAGAATAGGGTAGGAAACTGATAAAAAGTTGTTCCCCCACCCCCCCAAATAAGAACTTCAGTTTCAGCAAATTAAGCACATCAGAAGGAATTCAAGGAGGGAGGGGGCATTCTTGAAAGCAGAGACATAAGAAGGCTCTTAAGAAAAGGCTCCATTGTATTGCAGGAAGCCAGCCTTTCTGGAATAGCTCCCTCCCTGCTTCTAATTAATTATAAAACCCTTCCTGTTGATCTGAACCCGTGTGGGAATCCTTCCCATGGGAATCATGCAAAGTTGGTCGAAAGGCTAAAATGGTCAGTGTGGAAAATGGACCAGCAGTGAAGGTGACCAGCAGAATCAGAAAGTGCAAAGACCTATCTGGGGCAGTCGTAAGCTTGTCTCAAGGGGAGGCATCTCTTTAAGAACTAGGATTGCCTGGGGCTTCTAAAGACAGATAACAGGCAAAAAAAAGTACAGGCCTAGAAAAGAGTTATGCAGAGAGGAACCCCTTATCAGTATCTAATGCTATCAAAGAGTACAGAGATCAAATCCAATGTGCGTCATTCTGTTTGTATGAATTGGTGGGCACTCTCTAGTCCCAAGTGCCATGACCTGTTCCCTCTAGAGCCTCATTCGATTAGGACAGGGTTTCTTAACTTTGGCACTAACGACATTTGGGGCCAATCATTCTTTGTTGCGGGAGGGGGCTGACCTCTGCCTTGCAGGGCGTTTTACATCATTTTTGACTTTGACCTATTAGATACCAGTTGCACCCCTGAACTCCACCCCCAGTCGTGGCAGCCCAAAATATCCCAGATATTGCCAAATCGCCCCTGGTTGAGAACCGCTGGATTAAGTCTCAATAACTGATTTGTGGCATAATACCACAATTTCCTGTTCATTATGTTATTGGTTTTAGGCACGATCTGAATGTAGCTGTTTCCCAGAGTCTTATCTCTAAACAGTGGCTCTTACCTAGCTCTAATCTGAAGAAAGCCTGCGATAAAGGTCGCACATCCTCCACAGGCAACTTATAGACCATCAGGGAGGAGTACCTGCCGGGAAGAGAATGAGACTGAACCCTGAGTTTCCAGAGCACCCCCACCAACAGGCGCACGCCAAAGAGGGAGCAGCAGTGTCGACGGGAATTCATTGATGTGTATACGTCTGTATACAGTTGGAGACAGCCCCAGTATGAATGCTCTCCGATCCACAAGAAGCCAATTTACTAAAGCGGAAACATTAGAAGATATAAGAGGAGGCTGCGTTTCACTTCAGGGAGGGATGGGAGACAAAAAGGAGAAAACCTGCCATGCCTACACTTCAAGGAGAGAAGACACAGGGTTTCTTAACCTTCTTTCTTGCTGAGGCGAGCAGAGCATTTAACTAAAAGGAACCAGGTCGGCCTGGTTTATTCCACATTATCTAACCTACCTGAGCCTCAAGGACTGTTACTGAGAAAAATAAAAATGCTAAGAGACACCACCCACTGAGCTTTGACTCATGTCTGGTACTGGGAGCGGGTTTTATACTGGTGATCTTCACTCTTTCACTGCGTTAATTGATTTTAAGTTTTTTTTCCCAAAATGTGTCAGAAATCCACAAAAAACAAAACGTTGATATTTTTACTATTTTATGCATTTAATAATAATTTGACCTGCTTTGCATATAAATGACATTATTTTTATGTATCAAAATTTCCTCTTGTGATTCATTCTTGACAAACAAAAATATAGAAAAATGTACATCTGCTTTTCTAGACTTCCCTTCTGGAAGCTTCACTCCACAGTCACCAGATGGGAATATTCATTTGGATATATCCGACCATCATGGCAAAAGGGTTTAATGGCAGTGGTTTTACCACTGAGATGAACTAGGTCCGTGTGCATCTTAGTACCTGGTACATCACAGAGTTCCCTGGAACGCTAATTCCCTTACAAGAATCAGCTTCCATATAAGCACTTCGTTCTCTTATTTCCCTGCCGGGTTCTCCCACCGCTTGGGGCCTTTCTCTAGTAAAGTACTCACAATTACCATACAGTTTACAACAAAATGAGAAGATAAAGCTTTTACTTCTCATCACCTTAACAGAAAAACAAAACAAAGACCAAAATGAAACAGAACACCACCTGTGCTCACCTGTCCTGCCGTGCAGCCTGGGGGAAAAGCCTCAGGATTTCAGCGTGGAGGGGCTCCACTTGGGTGGGGGTCTTCACCTTCATCTCCAGCAGGTAATCCTTGCCAAATTTGCTCTTCAGGTGCTGGATGGAACCGATACACCTGGAAGGAGGCGCAGGATGAGGTCGATCAAAAAAAAGGAGAGAGACAGCTACCACTGGTGATTTTCGGGCTCTGGAGGCCCGGGCAGGGCCAGGTAGAGCTTTTCCCAGGGATAACCATGTACAGGGAACTGTCCTTTGTTCAGGGCATGTTGGGGTCCAAGTGTGGGCACCCACCTCAGCCTTCCGGATGCCATGATGGCCACGCGGTCGCACACAGCCTCAGCCTCTGCCATGTAATGGGTGGTCAGGAGGGCGCCCCTCTCCGTGTTTCTAAAGGTGGCTCGGATCGCCTGCCTAAAGTTAGGTCAAGGGAACATTAACTAGCGGGAATGCTCAAGATAATACGAGAACAATGGAAAGAAGTTTCCACTGGCACATATGAAACAATTAGTGAATTCGGAGTAGACAAAGAAGGATTTTGGAGGGACAACAGGCATGGAAATAACCGAGTTATTGGTTAGGGTGTGTAATTCAGAGCATAGACTGGGCTAAATGTAAGAACGATACTGTTCAGAAAAAGGCTGAATTTCAAGAATATTTATGAGAAGGCAGTAGGAAGAAAGATAGAAAATGAGAACTTATTTAAAAGCATAATGACATATATCCTAAAGTACACAATGACAAATTTCAGAGTATTCCCAAAATAATCAAAGAATATATTTTGGAGTTGGAATTTTTTTCTTCCTTGAGAATTATGTACCAGGTGATGCCAAAAGATTTAAAACTTAATGTAGAGTGATATGATTGAGTATAAAAATGGACGATGCATACCCAGAAGATCTAAGATGAAAACGAAACTCTTAGGGTATCAGATTATTAGAATATATTTTTCTCCTCAAGAAAAATTGGCTTTGATATGCTATCAGAGTTTTTTCCCCTTAATATTGCTTTTCCTGATAATGTAGCTGTCTTTCACTCGATAAGTAAAACTGATTTGAAGGTTGGTTGTGACAAGATGAATGAATTCACTTTGGGTTGCTCATGATATATGTCCTCACCACATCTGCAGCTGCCCCTCGGGGTCCATCCCGGTGGACGGCTCGTCCAGCAGGACCACCGACGGGTTTCCCAGGATGCTCAGCGCGAAGCACAGCTGCAACGAGAGGGACAGCGCGTCTGGCACCGATCTGTGGGCTGCGCAGAGTAACCCCGAGCCCCGCCCCTACCTTTCTCTTTTTTTTTTTTTAAAGATTTTTATTGGGGAATTGGGGGGATGGGAACAGTACTGGGGAATTCGGAGAAGGGGACCAGACAAGTTGCTGTCCTTTTGTTCTTCAGTCTAGTTGTGGAGGACGTTGCTTCACTGGCCCAAGTTGGCACCATCATTGCGCTCTTCCCAGGCGAGGCAGATCAGTCGCCGGCTTCTGGACGTCCACTCACTGCGGCTGCTGGCCACTCATGCTGGCTGCTGGCTACACACGGTAGCCCATGGCAACCCACTGCCACAGGGGCTGCAGCCTACGCCATCGCCAGCGACTCATGGCAACCCAGCTCCAGGTCGAGCTGTTGTTCAGCATCTTAGCTGTGGAGGGCAGTGTCACTGGCCCTCATATGTGGGATCCGAACCGGGGCCCTCTGGCATACCAAGCCAGTTCTTAACCATCGCGCCACTCGGCCGGCCCGCCCCTACCTTTCTCTTTATTCCCTCCGATAAGGCCTTCACGGGACGCTTCTGCTGGTCCTGCAGCTTGAGCGCATCCACCAACCTGAGGGAAACATTAAGTCCATCCACATTCCTCTGCACGATGTGTCGGAGAATGGGCAGATCAGAAGACTACAGTGGAGAATTTTTTAAGAGTATTCAGAGTGATCTTCAAATTTAAACAATCCAGGACCCTGTATGAACCTTTTACATCATTTAAACTCATATTTTCAGTGACCTGCTTCTACATTAATAATCAATGGACTTTTTCTCTCCAGGCTTGAGAGAACGCAACACTGAATTTGGGGTCTAGATGACCAAGTCTTCTCCCCTATGCAGGGAGTCATCAGTTAGAACCTCGCTTCCTTAACTCTCTGTGAAGCTGTCACATCCCCCTAGCAGACAGCGGGTGTGTCACCCCCAAGTACCGTGTGATAGCGATTGCGGCGTCCGCTTTCCTCAGCCCTTTCACCGCCGCGAACACCTCCAGATGCTCCCTCACCGTCAGGTTGGGCCACAGCGCGTTCTCCTGAGGACAGTACCCCAGGAACCCCAAGGGGGCCCCGCCGCTGCTGCCTTTCAAAATCACCTACACAAAAAAGTCATTCTCACATTCTGTCCAAAACTCTGTGTGTGTGTGGGTGTGTGTGTGTGTGTGTGCGCGCGCTAGTGAGTATATTTCAGTGATGTTCTCCTCTTCCACAAATGGTTGCCAAGAGTACAAAAGTAAGTAAGGAATCACTTAGCTCTGGGGAAAGATTCATAGAAACTCCATAAATCAAAAGGCAAATATTCCATTGTTCTATCCCTCCATTATAGTTTAGACTTTATCATCAAGCCCATGGCTGAATTCAAGTTTGCTTACTTGGTTGTCCATTGTTTGACTTCATTCATTGATCCAAACATTCAAAAGGACAGATACTTGTTGAAGACTCGTTTTCCCAATGTTAAAATGGCTCTCATGGTAGAATCTGTTTCACAAGTTTATTGTGAGGGTTAAATAAGACAGTTTTTCTCAATCGCGGGCAATCCTCCTCCCGGGGGATATTTGGCAACGTCTGGGGACATTTTTGGTGTCACCACTGGGGTGCTACTGGGATCTAGTGAGTAGAGACCAGCGATGCTGCTATATCTCCTATGATGAATAGGGTTTCTCACAATAAAAATGATCTGGGACAAAACGTCCCCAGCACCAAGCTTGAGAAATCCTGAACTAAGGTAATAAATGAATAGCCCTTAGCACTAGTCTGGCACATAGGACCCAATAAACACATGCTAGCATTTCTTATTTGTACGGCCCAGGTCCTATCTCTACAATGATAATAACAGGAAAGGTGTCCCAGTGCTTGATATGTGGCAGGATCTAAGCATTCTCTATGTTTTGAATTACTTGATCCTTAGCAAAACCCAATGTGACTGAGGTGTTTTATCTCATCATCCCTGTTTCTCTAACGTGTGCATAGAGTTAGAAGCTTGCAGATCACACATCATAAACCTGGGAGTCGACGCTAGGATCTACCTTCAGAATTCAATCCCTTGACCTCGACGCTACATTGTCTCTCCCCAATACAAAAGAGGAGGGACCTAGTTACCTGGCCTCATGGAGCTTTCAATCTAGAGAGAGAAACAGAAAATAAACAAGTAACGCACCCCCACAAATGAAGTAGAGCTCCTGCTGCATACTTTCAAGGAAATAACTGCGCTGAAGAATAAAAGGGAGGCTACAGTTTAGCTCCGTGTGTCGTCAGGGATAGGGCTTTTGGGAGGTAAATGTCCAGGTGATGAGAAGGAGAGAGCCAAGCACATGAAAAGCTAAGAAAGAACAGTCCAGCCATGGGAAACACAAGCCCAGAGACCCTGCAGGGGGAAGACCACCCCGGGCCAATGTGAACAGGGGCTGGGCTGTGAAAGGCGGTCAACAGAGCCCAGGTTTACAGGGCCTTCCGCAGCCACGGTGAAGATTCTGGATCAATTCTAACGAAAGGGTTCTGAGCAGGAGCGGGACATGAGACCTCATTTGCATTTTTTAAGGACTGCTCTGGCTGCTCTGTGAGGCAAGGGTGGAAATGGAAAGACGATTTAGGAAAGGTCTATAACAGTCAGCACCACTGCGTACCCCTCTTCCTGAACTCTCTCTCTGACCTCAAGCTTCTTTCAAATATCAATAGCATTTCCCCTTCAAAGTGGTAGTCTTTTTGGACCACTGTCCATCATTCTCCCAACTCGGCCTGGACATCCTGCCAAATGGTATCTACATACTATTCTAGTTTTTGCTTTGGAATTTAGACAATGACTCATTTTTTCTCTAACCTACAATCCCTATTTTCTGAATAAATCCTGGATCTTGGCAATTCAATTCAGCAAGTTCTCAGGCTACAAAAGGTCACAAAACAAAGCTCTCTGATTGCCAATAAAGCTAATGTTTCCTTTTCATAACTCTATTTTTCACTCAATAAAAGGCAGAGCACAGATAACATGTGGCCCTTTTCAGCATCAAATAACTATTTGAGGGATTAAGGGAAGAACTCTTTATTAATCCTTTTCATTCAATGCATAAAGCACATTGATTAATAGGAAAGGATCATCTACGTATTTGTAAGATTATCATCAGGATTGATGGTAAACCGTTTGGTCTGGGCAGCATTCGTGACCATATTTCTGTGTATGTTACTGACCTGACCTGCGGTTGGTTTTGTGTCTCCTGTTATCAACTTAATCGTTGTGCTTTTACCAGCTCCATTGTGTCCTAACAGACCAATCACTTCGCCTGAAAGAAAAAGGTATGCTCAGAATTACAACTGCAAGTAATTACAATAAAAGTAAAAACAAATACTATTTGAGGACTTACCATATGTCCCACTCTATGTCAAACATGCTATGCACATTATTTCACTTATTCCTCACACACACACACAAATGCGGCTGTCATTACTGCCTTCCTTTCACAGGTGAGGAAATGAAGGCGTAAGAAGAGTAAATAATTTGCCCAAGGTCATGCAGCCAATAAGAGGCTGAGCTGGAATTGAAACAAATTTTGATTCCAAAGCCTGTTGCATTTCACGGACGCTTCCATAACATGTGCCATTTGTCAGGAATCAAGATTGAGCTACCCTACTCAGCGAGTTCCCTCTGTGTTGTATTTCCTGTTATGAAATTAACGTTACTACTTAAAAAGCTCTCTCGTCCTTCTTAACATAAAGACTGCTTCCTCTTTCGTGGTGGTTATTCTTTTGTGTTTGTTTTACAGAACAGACCTAACTGTCATCCTATGCAAAGGAAAACCCTTGTTCTAACTGAGGCTTTGAAGCAGGATGAATCAGCAAGGGCCTGCTGATGAGTTGGCTGCCTTTCATGTTTATCAACGGATGGCCCCAGACATGGACAGTATCATTCCTTTAAAAAGACTTCATCTTTAGAGGTCAAGATGGCTCTGCTAACAGAACTACTGTTTCCAACCTTTTTTAACACAGAAAGAAACATTTCTTATGGCCACTTTTTTCTTCCTCTTGGCAAAGCAGTTTTTCTTTTTCCGTGCATATTCCTTCCGTAGACAGCTGGCGATGATGACTGGTTTCTGGAAAGACAAGTAAATAACAACAGGGCTTTATTCTCACCTTGAAATGAGCAAGTGCTCCATACTCCCTTCCAACCAAAGCTTTCCCCGTGCAAAATCGTGAGTCAAACCAGTTCTTTCCCTAGAAACTACCATTTTAAAGTGAACTCTCCCAATCTGTATTCCTGCGGCAAAAGGACATTTGCACTGAATCGTATGATTTGTGCTTCCCTTCCTCAGAAAATAGAAATACAGACATTCATCAGATAAGTAGGTCTGTTAAGACACACACACACACACACACACACACACACACACACACACATACACACACACACACCCTCAGATGAACTTTCTCCTCTAAATTGCTTTACTAAATTTATAAAACTCACAAAGTGTTTCTAAGGTTTTGTAATAGTTAGCTTTACTTACCAAAACTGTGACCCTGAAAAGTAAATTAATCT